CCCCCTCCCCCCAAAGTAGGTTCACTCTTATTGAGATTTCCTTGTAGCCCAGAAACTTGAGTGAACTGATAGAATTTCTGTTGCATTGCTTGTATTGATTTCAAATCTCCTCTGGCAAATAACAGTAAATCATCAACAAAACTTAGGTGTGTGATCCCTAGTTTGGCACATCTAGGGTAATGCTTAAACTCTTTCACCATCTTGAGGTTAGCTAGGTTCCTGCTCAAGTATTTCATTGATATAGCAAACAAGAAGGGTGACATTGGATCACCCTGCCTCAAACCCTTAGTGGCATTGAATGGTTCCGTTGGCTCACCATTAACAATAATAGAATAGTTGACTGTTTGGATGCACTCTATGACCCAAAAGATGAACAACTGAGAAAATCCCAATTCTTCCATAACTTGCTTTACATATGGCCATTCAACAGAATCATAGGCTTTCTGCAAATCAATCTTTATCATGCAACGAGGAGAGATGTTCTTTCTAGAATAGGCCTTCACCAACTCATATGCCAGAATTATGTTATCTGCAATCCTCCTCCCAGGTATAAATCCTGCCTGGGCTTCACTGATAATTGTACTAATTATTCCTTGCATTCTTGATGCCAGAATCTTAGAGATCAATTTGTATATCATAGTGCAACAAGCAATTGGCCTGAATTCCTTCACAGCTTTTGGCTTATTAATCTTAGAAACCAAGGTAATGATTGTACAGTTTATAGCTCTGTATAGTTTCTCAGTAGCAAAGAACTCCAGGACAGCTTCAGTAACTTCATCTTTGATAATTGGCCAAGCTTTTTTAAAGAAACATGCATTGTATCCATCAACACCAGGTGCCTTGTCTTCTCCAATAGAGCGCAATCCTTCATAAATCTCTTCTGCAGTCACATCTTTACATAGGTTAATTCTTTGTTATTGATTAAGCTTTGGTCCCCTTTGCATCACCATTTTATCTATAGCAGGAAGTGAATGAGCACCAGTTCCCATCAATGATTTGTAAAATTCTACAATCTCCCTTTTGATGCTCTCTAAGTCAATTAGCCTGCTTCTAGTAATAGAATTAAGCTCCAATATTTACTTTCTTTGACTCCTTTCTTTCATAACAACTGTGAAGTATTTTGTATTGGAATCTCCTAACTTTATCCATTTTGCTCTGGCTTTCTGCTTCAAAGCTCCCTCTTCAATCATATCCCATTTTTCTAAATTATGTACCAATTCCTTTCTCATCTAACAATAGTTCATCAGAGCAATTAGTAGTAATGCTTCTTTGAACCCTTTAAAGATCAATTCTGGCTTTCTCAATCTTCTGTCTTATGAACTTTAACTCCTAAACATTAAGCTTTTTCAGTACTGGCCTTAGTGCTTTGAGCTTTAACCAAATATTCTGCATACTCTTCCTGGGGACTCTCTGCTGCCATACTTGTTGAACATTGCTTAGAAATCTCTCATGTTCTGCCCATACATTGAAAAATCTGAATGGAGTCTTCCTGCTTCCTTGATTATCAGTTAGGGTTAGGCTCATAAGAGCATGATCAGATATAAAAGGCATCTCATATACAATAGTTATATGCCCACATTGCATCATCCATTCATAGTTGCCAAATATCCTATCAATTCTGCTACATATCCTGTCACTCTCATCTTGCTTATTAGACCATGTATAATAATTACCTTCCCAAGCCAGTTCACTAAGCCTTAACTCTTGAATACATTTGCTGAAGTCTTGAATTTCATCCATGGTAATTGGATTACCATGTATCCTACCTTGTAATTGTAGGACAACATTAAAATCTCCTCCAATCAACCATGATGTGGAGGTCATTTGTCTTATCTCTATTAAGCTCTCCCACAGTTGCTTCCTTCTTTCTACTGTGTTAAAGCCATAGACTACTGATACTACACATTCTTGATCCTTCATAATATCTCTAACAGAATAATGAATAACTTGCGCTTCTGCTTTGATTAAATTGACTGAGTAGTAGTTTGGATCCCATATCACCCATATTCTTCCATTTACTACATCATTATAATTATTGAGTATCTCCCAGCCAGGGGTAATGTGGTAGCTAACTCTTTTAGCTTTGTGTTCTTTGACTCTAGTTTCAATGATACCTGCAAGCTTGATGTTTTTGATGTTCAAGTAGTTTTTAAGCTCCATCACCTTGTACCACTTATTTATACCCCTGACATTCCATAGTAACCAAGTTATTGATTGAGTTTAATTCCCCCACCCCCTATCACGAGGTAAGGTAGAAGTCCCACTGGTACCTGCTGCTACAATTTTGGATCTATTTCTACTAGTCATAGGTGTTAACATAGGAAAATTTTCAAGGCTCAAATCTAGTACTTGCTTTTTGCCTTTGTCCACTGCACTTGTCACAATGTTCCCTGCACCTACTTCAGGTTGATTGTAGCTGAGCTGCTGAGTCTCCACTGGTAAGCAAGGTTGGTTTTTCTCTTGGGCTGGACCAGGTTGATTCACAGTTGTTCCATTGTCACCTTCTTTCTGCATATTTTCTGTATTCCCAGCTGTAGGAAGTACAGGACCTTTAGTTCTCCATTCGTATGTTACTTTTTTTGTTTCTCTTCTTCTCTTTGGCTGCTCTTCCTTCTTCTCTCTTGGCCCTTGTTGATTAGGACACACATGACCAATGGTCTGGCATTTGTCACAGTAATTTTGCTTCCACTCATACACCAATTCTTGCTGAAATATCCTGCCTTTAGGATCCAACACAGTAATCTCGGTAGGCATATCTCTTGTAACATTCACTTCAATCAGCATCCTTGCATAAGAGATTCGTGTTTGCTTAGTGGTGCATTCATCACCAAATAGAGGTTTACCAATTGCACTAGCAATTTTGCTTAAAGCTTCACTACCCCAATAACTCATTGGTAACTTAGGAAAAATCACCCACATAGGTATATCAGTTAGGAACTCTTTACTTAAATCAAAATCTGGAGACCATGGCTTGAGGATTATTGGTCTATTTCTGATAGTGTGAGGACCAACATAGAACACTCGATGCATATCTTTTAGTGTCTGAAATTTTATCACATAATATTCTTCATCATGGAGAAATAAATCTGGCTCAGCAACATCTAGCAAATGTTGAGCAATATAGCGCCTCATAGCATTATACCCAGGATTATCTCCAACAATGTAGGCTATCAATGCAGCATTCCATTTCTCCTCTGCTTCTTCTACATCTTGCAAATCTAGCTTTACCACAGTTTGACCATCTACAATCTGAGGTGGGACATATCTGAGTGTCATTCCATGAGTGGCTACACGGTTTTGATGGAACAATTTAGCCCATGCCCTTGGCTCAGTCTTTCGTTCTGCATGACTTATCTCCTTAGGGTTCTTATCCAGAATCTCCTTCTCATTAGGGACTATAGTGGTTTCAATTTGATCTGCAGTATTCCCCTTGCTCAGATCCCCTGTTTTTTGCATGTTCTCACGGTTTACCTCAGTTACTGCTCCATTGGATTTTCCGCCAACCCTAGGATTGGT